ACTGGAAGATAAGAAGTGTGGCTGGATGTACAGTTTAAACTGGAAGATAATGTTTAAAAGATAAGAAGTGTGGATGGATGTACAGTTTAAACTGGAAGATAATGTTTAAAAGATAAGAAGTGTGGCTGGATGTACAGTTTAAACTGGAAGATAATGTGACCATTCGCCCAGTGTAATAACTCTGAACTGATGTTCCAGCAGTTTACTAGGATACTGTCCATACAAACACAAAGTGTAAAACAGGGTGGTGGAACGTGTGTTGCTGGAAGAAACATGTGCCAATAACTCCATAAGCTTCCAACTGTAGGAAGACAGTTCTCCATAATGTTCAAGTATATGAATCCAGTTACTGCTCTTCCCACACAGTAAAAAATGTTTCCTCAGTGGATGTGATAATGACACCATGTGATCACAAGAGACTTAAATTCTAAGAACCAAAGAACAGTCTATTTTTATTTGCTGTACAGGCATCATTTTGGCACTAAATGTTGACAAAATCTTGAATCTTGGTTTAGTCCAAAACTGATAAAATGGAGTAAAACCTAAGAGTTTTAAATATTTCCATATTTTATCTTTCTTTGTTTAAACATCAACATGCAATAGGAAGCTGCAATAAACAACCAAAAACAAAATTGTGTACTGCCTTAGTAAATATTTAATATAGAACTAAAAATTTAGTATAACAATATGACAAAAAAGTGCTAATTGTTTAGTAGAAGCAATTTCATTTTACATTATGAAATAAAAAATATAAAATTATAAGCAAAGGATATCTAATAAAGAATTATAAAAGCATAATTACGTGTGACATTCTCATATAAACACCTGCTGGTGCTTTTTTAATCAGCTTCTACTTACAGAAAATATATTACAAACCTCATTCTTTCTTGACCTTTGACCCACTCCTATGGTTCATACCCATCTTAGGAAATACAGTCAACATGAAATAGGTTTATGCAAAAGATGTGGAGAGAATGCTATTTGATAAGGTGAATCTAAATTATGTTTGCTAATACCAAAAAAAGAGACTCAATTTATACTGAGTAAAGAAACACCATATTCAGTTCCACTTGGCCTAGGCCCATGCTGTGATAATATATGCAAGTTATGTTTTTATCTGAAAAAGTATATGCAGAAGTCACTGATCTAGGCCCAAGCTGTGGTACTGTATGCAAGTTTTCCTTATTTGGAGGGTATAACACGAAAGAACAACAAGGGACCTTTTGGTCCATCTAGGCTGTCCTATCCACTAAATTAAACTAAACACTAAAACATTCAAAGCAAGTCTTTATCATTCAAATATTTATTAAGCTTTCCCTTAAACTACCTTAAATTAACTGCATTCACCACAACATGTTCCAAAGGCCAACCACCCTGTTAGAAATAAAGCTGTCTTAGCTAAAGATGATTCCTACTCTGTCAATATTTATATTTGTGTCTCCTAGTCTTACCGTTGTCACCATTAAACACAAAAAAGAAGAGACATCAACACTACCAATTCCCTTAACAGTTGCAAACACCTTAATCAGATCTCTTCTAACTCTAAGACCAAACACAGTACTCTAAAAGTGACCTAACCAATGACCAACACAATGACATCATAATTTCTTTATACTTATATTCAATATTTCTGTAGATATGACCTAAACTTTGTCCTGCCAATAGCAACATCAATCATTTACATAGGCCAAGCTATGGTAATGTATGCAAGTTGTCTTTATTCAGAGGGTATACACAAAAACTCACTGATCTAGGCTCATGCAGTGGTAGTGTGTGTGTGTATGTGTATGTCAATTTATGTGTTCACAGAGTACAGCCAATAGACATGAGAAGCTTTTTCTGTTTGTTTTTAAACAGTGCAGAAAATCAATTCAATAAAAAATTAATTTTTAAAGAAATTCAAATTACAGCAGGATAGCAAACGATTGTTGGGTATGAATCAAGTCCTTTTGGAGGTTCAACTAGCTTGTTTGGATGGTGGTAGCCTGGTCCTTTGTAATTTTCTAATCCATGTGTGTCAAATACCAGAGCCACAAACAAAGCATCAGACCTTCGATGGTAGCTCAAGAGCCTAAAAAATAATACATTAAATAAAAAAACTGTTCTTATGGAAATGAGTAAGCAGTGAATAAAAAAAAAGATCCAATGAATAGATTTTTTTATGTTTTGATATGTTACTTAATATAAGAGTTACAAAGTTATCTTCTAAAGAAAACTACCATAATTTTGGTTTAATAGTGATGATTGAATTGTTCACTTCATTTATAATTATAATTTAAAGTTACAGTTAGTAATTTGAAATCATAAAATTAATTTATTAATGGTGTGCATAGAGCTATCTCTTTTATGTAACACCAAAGAATATTATATAACAAAAACTAGATCATTTTGTCTAAAACAAATCTTGATGAAATATGGTAAGTTAAATAACAATATCATATTGCACTACCATATGTCATACTTGACAACTTTCTAAGTGAAGTGTTTTATTTTATCAAATATGATTAATGATGCTACTTATTATTTCACTTACTTTTGGTACAAGTCTGTGGATGTCTTGAAGCAAATATTCTTCATCTCAAGAGGAGTCGTCTGCTTGCTCAGAATATCATGAAAGTAAAGTGTGAACTAAAAAAAAGATGTTTACAGATGTAAGTACACATAACAATTTTTTTCATTTAAAGAAACAATTTATATGAGTCACTGATCACATTTAAAGATTATTCTTTCATTCACAATAGTCTTGATACACTGTGATGTACTGAAATGGGAAACAAAATTATTTCCATATTTCAAAATATTTTACAATGAAGTGTATATAAGTAAATAACAATTAGTTAACCAATAAATCAGCCTTTCTACACACACTAACATAGCATGCCACAAAGTATTTACAAACATGACACAAACAGCCTTTTGGCTTAAATAAGTAATCCAAGAACTAAACTAAACTTTTAATAAAGGTTCATTCCAATTCTGTATATTGTGTTTCCACATGTTTATACAACTAAAGGAATTGAAAAAACAAAATCAGATGGACTGCTATAACAAATCTGTTGCTTGAATGTTTCTTCAGTAAAATACACTTTAAAAATTACTCACCTACAAGAGCAGACTTCAACAGAAACAGACACTGATAGAGAGCTGGCATACTTACAAGTCTTGAGATCTCCATACCAGAAAGTTTACTCACCTTTGCCACAAGGACAGACTTCAACTGAAACAGCCACTGATAGAGAGCTGGCATACTTGCAAGCCTTAAGATCCCCATATAAGAAAGTTTACTCACCTTTGCCACAAGAGTAGACTTCAAGTGAAACAGCCACCGATAGAGAGCTGGCATACTTACAGGCCTTGAAATCACCACACAAGAAAGTCTACGACTCTGAGAACATAGAAAGATAACATAAAAAAGTATTAATTCTGGTGCTACATGAAAGTCACTAAGTAAGAAATAATACTGTGATGATAATGTTAAATGATACTTTGACAATATCTAAGTTATAAATTACTAAAGTCAAACACTAGTCGAGTTTTTCTTGATTAAAGTTACAACATTGTTTAATAAAGCCTGTCATTAAATGCACATATAAACCAAAATCAATAAGATTTTTAACTCCTCGAGTTTTTAATATACAAAACTATTTATACAAAATACAAAAGAAAATTCATATATAACAAGAAGACTAATATTAATACTCATTAGATATAATGAAGGCAAATTATGTCACAAGTCTAGTAGTCAACATGTTACTTGCAGCCTGTTTATCCACTGCGAGTCTTCTGAGTATCAACTCAGCAGTGCCTAAGTAGTTACTTTAAGATTCATTTACACATTAATTTATAGGAATGCAATAATAATAAGAACACAATAATAATGAAATTAATATAATGTCTTTTATATGTAAAGCAAACACACAAAATATTATCTAAATTTTGTAAATTGATAATATGTGTAATACTGCATCATAAGAAAACTTACTATCTATAATCACGTGTCTTTACTGGTCAAATATGGATTTCCAGTAATACAGTGCATTTCAAGTACACTATCTGTTGTATTCTAATGTCAATGAACGCTTTCATCCAACATTAGAATTTGTGAGTCCGAAGGATTACAGCAAGCAAAATATTAATTTAAATTACATTTGAATCAAGTTTTATACAACATATAACTTGATAATCTAAATTTTTTCTATAAAGTTTGTATACGGTACCATTTCAACAGAGGCACAGCAGATATATATATATATGACAAATAAAATGTTTTTTTTCCAATGGATTAAAATAGTTTCAGAAGCAAAGGTGATCCTGATTGATTAACATTTTAACGTCAGGATGCATCTTGTGTATATAAAAATTTTCTTTTGTATGGAGCATTTCTTTACTATCCACACTCCTCCAAGATGTTAAAGTGTTTTGAAATGACATTTGTCAGAGATCTGTAAACAGTAGTGAAGGATGGACGACTGATTATATGCTGTGTTTTGTGCATGCTCTGTAACGCTTTTAGCATGGGCACCGACTTCGTAACCATTTTGTGCTTATTATAATTTTCATGCTATAACTTTTAAATTAGTAAGCATATGTTAATAAAATTTGGCAGATTATTAATAAACATTTACAATGCTTTCATATGCAAAATATCAAAATTGTTTATTAAGTCTTAAGGTTTGTTAAAGAATGCTTTTCTCATGCCTTTTTTTTTCTATCCAACTTGCAAAGTAATTTTCATTTTAAGATTAAAATTTGCAATTTGATGTCTCACTCCTTAGTGATTGTATAATGCATAGTGGAGGATATCACATCATCTACACCTGAAGAACACCACCATCCTATTCTGCACTGAATAGTTATAGCCATCTTTGTGTGGAACCCATTCAGCAGGTTGCCTTCATGGTTAACCGCCCCTACGGCTTGGAACTCTCATACTCCACAAGAAGAAAGGGGGTGAGAATGCATTGGAGAGTCTGGAAGAACGTCATCACTTGAGACAGTGCAATGGGTGACCACAAAACCCTATTTTAAAAAGCAGACAATACCAATTTATTCAATACAAGGCATGGCAGTGATGGGCAGCTTTCCCCATGTAGTCCATGGGTGGTATGGTCCAGAATGGTGAAGTTTATGAAGCAATTACATTGCAAGGTTATTCACCTACAATTGATCTCATGGAACATCTCCATCTCAATAATTAGCACTGCAAAGCCATTGAAGTTAAAGTGGGAATCAACATGGCTGTACTGTGCAGATTTCTGATTGAAGAATATCTGGTTAGGCACCACTTGCCACAGAGAGGGATCCCTATAAAGAATAAATGAAGTTAGTGCTGCTGAAATGAAAATAACGTATGAATATAGACTTACCCAGTCAAAGTTGCACTGAAGCTTGAAGAACGGTCAAAAATGGAAGAACAAAAACCTGATGAAGAAGAAACTGCAATATGGTGTAAATAATGGGAGATGAACATATTAGGTGTAGTCCACAGGCCCGATTGTAGGATGTCCTCCAATGGCTGAAGAAGAAGAGATGTGAGGGAAAATGTGAAGCGTTGAATTTGACGAAAAGACACTCTGATCAAATTCCAGTGGGAAGAAGACAAGGAGAAATTAGCCAATTGAATCAAACGTCAAATCCATTTGGTGAAGGTAGAAGGGAATAGATCACGAACAGAGGAAGACTGCCAAGGGATAAAGAGTCATGAATGGGCAATATAGCAACAAAGGGTACGGACTGGACATAGAAGTTTATCCAGATTGGGACAGGGGTAGAGATGAGAAATAGAAGGAAGGAAAACAGGCAAAAAGGAGGAGTAACCCTCACTAGCCAAGGAGATCTTTGGGAGGAAGGAACAATCTGAATAAAGGAAAAGATAGGTAGGGTGGTAAAGTGTACGTGAAATGTCAATGGCAAACAAATCAGACCTATGATGTTCATAGGAGAAGGAAATATGTTTCAAGGGAAAGTTGAAACATGGAGTCTGAGGAAATAAGTTCAAACGGAGGTAAAGTGAGGAAATGGAGGACCACATTAATATCCCAACCTGGAAGACTAGGCCTGCTGAGGGGCTGACAAATCCAGAAGGAATGCATTGACAAAGTAAGGACAGGGGAAGCAAAAACTTGACAGTATTAGGAAAGACGAAAGGTATAGGATAAGGCAGCCTGATAACCAGAGACAGAAGACCCCCCAGCTGAAAAGCCATGTGAGAAACTCAGCCATAGTAGAAAAGTTAGTGGGGAATCCCTGAGTAGCGGACCAACTGTGGAACACCCTCCATTTGCACTGATACACCTCCATTGAAGAAGGATGTATGGAACGAGCCCAAGGAAAACTACTTGACGGGAGAAACCTGATCTCCTCGCCAAGGACCAGAGAAAGGCTAGGCATGAAGGTGAAGGATGTGAATGACAGGATGTAGAACCAGTGAATGAGGTTGATGAAGGGAGGGAGACAAGAGTAGGGTACTGAAGGGAAAATTGCAGATGGCATAATCATGGAAACAAGATTGGAAAGAGTGGACTGTTGTTGTAGTACTGATGCAACTTGTGACTCCAAGGACTCAAGGATCATGTCAAATGTGTAACGCCACATAAATGGGGCCATACGTAAATCTCCAAGATAACATGCTGGTAAACAGACTCGAGTTAAGGTTGCATTACGACCTAGAAGGTCCCAACAACAGAGAAACTATGTATGTAATGCCAGAGCTGAAGACGACAAATGAGCCAACATCAAGAAAAGAAGGGAAAGAATGTCACCAAAAAAACCCCTCAGGATTTTGGTGGAGAGACTCAAAGAGGAAATGGATAGTAGAGAGATACTGTAAAAGAGTTGTGAGGGTAAGAAGAAGGTGGGAAAACTGGGCATAGGTCAGACGGACAGGAGATTTGGGGACCTCTCCCCAAACAGGTAAAATAGAGGCAAATTGGTCAGCATGTATCTAAATGTCTGTAGCAAGGGATAAAACATCATATCTGAGAAATGAAATCCAAAAAACCATACTAGACCTAACTGACTCCTTAGGAGGGGCATGGGAAGGCACGGCAAAATCAAGAGGTGGAAATAGGGGATCCAAGTCCTCATCAGCATATTCAGGAGGAAGTGGGGTGAGGTTCAGAGATAGAGGTTGACCCATGTAATGTTCGCTCTCCCTGCAAAAAAACATTGATGAATCTCCCACTGGGTGGCCCACACCTGATGCTAGTCCCAGGTGTGACCCTTGAAGTGGTAACATGAACTTCGGAATTCATAATCAAGATGAGTCAACCAAAATTGAAATCATTAATAATAATGAGACTTTAATAAACTGGGATTAAATCAAAGTGAAGAAACAGTTTTAATAAACTTGGAAGTAATGTAAATGAAAACCATTTTATGAGTATACTAAAGTTAAACTTGACACAAACAAAAGAACATGTCTAAGCACATGTGCTGCCAAATGAGAAGTGTAAGTTTGGTTGAGGCGTATAGAGGGAGTCACATGTGTCATGTGAGTATGTCACGCTCCTATTGGTAGAGAAGTGATACACGATGATTTACATGAGAAACATGTGGGAATCATTTGATTCCAATAGGGTGGAGCAGGAGGCTTGTGGCATGCATAAAGAAAAAAGTACCCATATAGAGGCAGCACAGGAAGAGAATATCTAATCTTGTGAGCTGAGGGATGTACTGTATTGGAAACTATTTTTTTGTAAAACCACCTTTATGTTTTGTATTTCTTCATGGAATGAGGAAAAAGAACTAACTTCTACCTAAAATAACAATCTTGGTATTTAAGAAAAGTAAGCTATTTAGCATTAAAACCACTTGCTAGTATTTTAATCATATCAGGGTATCTTAGTGATGGAATCAAAGTGACCTTAAAAAGGATTAAAAGTCTAGTCTAAAACAGTTTCTTAAAAGTCTAAATACACAGAATACTTTCACTCCAATATTATGTAAGAGGATGATAACCTTGTGGTTACAGTAAAGAAACTTGAAACAGTCTTAAAACTTATGCTGGTCCTAAACTCCAACACTGATGCTGTTATATGTTGTATGTTACAAAACTAATATTAAAGGTTGAAACATGTGATATACTTACCACTAAAATGTTTCAAAAACATTTAATTTACAAAAAATTATGAAACTGTCTTTGGTGTAAAAAAATGAGATATTAAAAAACCCCTTGTTAATGAAGCATACAAACCTATTTCAGTTATAAAATGTTTGTTTCTTAAAGTCCTAAACAGCTTTCACTGTTACAAAGTATAATAAAGCAGTTACTTGTTTTGTTATACACATCACATAAAGATAAAATCTCCAAATCTCTTACTCTCCTAGTGAGCACTGTCATTAGATCAACAAAATCTCAGTTGTCATTCAAAAATATACTTAAGCCTAATTGTAATTTTACATGAGGATTTCAATGAGTGTTACTATTAGCGATATAAGATAAATTTCAATGCAACAGAGAAATAAAATATTAATTTTCTTTTAGATATTTTGGGTAAAATAAACATATTTTTAACTTTATGTTTGAATATATATACATATAAAACAAACAAACTAGAAAACAATGGGGTGGAGGCAGTTTTGACACATGAAAATGATCTTTAGTATTTAATGATTTAGCTCAAACAGCCGTATAGAGAGATAACAGATGCAAAGTGTACATATTTAAGGTTGTCAGTGGATTTCTTGAATGTCATACGTTTAATCTTTATAAGGCACAACAAAGGCTTAACTTAATTTTCAATGTATAACTTTATTTATATTTTACCTTCAATATCTCAATGTAATAGATACGAGATAAACATACCTCAGCTTTGGGGATCATAGTAGAAGCCCAAGACCCAAGATGAGAATGTGCATCATATAGACTTAGGAGAGCAGGAAGAAACTGTAGTTGTTGAATTTGTACTTGAGCTTCTAATAACTTTAAGAGAGACCTGCACTCAAAGCTAAAGAGAAAATTAACAAAAATATCCATTGTGAAAGTTGCCTATATCATTTATTTCTACACTTACTTACATATTATTAATAAAACAAAGTTCTTATACTTTACTTACTGAAAGTTCAAAGACATTTTCTGGGCCTTGTCTAGAACTTCAGTATAATTTCCCAAAACCTAATACCAAAATTATTACTAAATATTTACACATCTTTGAGAATGATGACAAAGATTCTATAAAACAGTTGATTTAAATTAATAATATATTGGAGTATCTATTAAACTCATTACAGCAAAATTAGTTTAATTATTTTTTCTATCTTCAATATAGTCTACAGAAAAATTAGACAAATTAATTAAATCTCACTTTAATTAATTGTCCTTACTTCTTTAATCTTTTAATATTTTGTAATTCTTTTAATTTTTTCTGAGTATCATAATCTGTTAAATCCTGACATGAAAGTAATATTCTTTTTGAAGTGTTTGCCTTTAAAATAAAATTATTAATGGATTTGTTGTAAAGGGTTCATATCATTATTTAGGGATTTTCCCCCTATCAATTGCTCAATTTCTTCAATTACAGCATTTTAATAGTCTTAAGGAATCCCATAACAGTTAGCAATATTATTGAAACAATAAAATTGCCCTGTTTTCTACCACAAAGCAATTTTCCCCTCATTTTGTTCAACAGAACTATATGAATGCAACTTTTTAGTTTCACTTTATAAAACATTTCATAAATGCCAAGACACCAAACATCAACTAGGAGTGACCTCAATCCTCTGCTGGAAATTCCAGCAATGACAACATAAAGAAAATGCTGGTTTTGTTGAGTTACTGCTAGTCAGATGTTGATGGTATTAAGCTGAAAAGATTGCTGCTTAGATCTTGAACTAGCTAGGGCAAAGTGAACTAGCACCAATCAACAATCATAAAAAAATGCTAATTTTGTTGGAATAACATTGGTGTTGGCATGACACTCTGGTAGTGAGTTAAAAATATTACTGGTCAGTTCTTGAACTACATATAGTCAGTGCAAAAGTAATTATATTGCAACAATAGTTTAATAATTTTTGTTCTTAATAGATGTTTAAATTATGTATACAAAAGACAGTCTTGTATAACAAACCACCATAAAATTCAATTCTTTTTTTTTATATTATTATATCAAGGTGTTAAAATTTTTGTGCCAAAGAAATGTGTGGCGAGTGTATAGATGAAATTTAAAACGTTGACTTGCTTTTTGCTGACTCTCTACTGTAACTCATTTGTCGCTATCTAGTGGCTCTTGGAATATCATACACTTTTTCATTTAGACTTAAAATATTGTTTGTAGGATACCTTGACGTAATGATTCTCTGGCTATGTTAAATAAATGATTAACTTTCACAAGTTCTTTACAATTTCAGCAACTAGCCTTTACTAGTCCCTAGTAAGTGGATGATAAAGTCAGAAGAACAGCCATAATCATATAGCTGCTTTCTTGTAAAAACATATTTAATCTCTACAAAAATTTTGATTTAATAAACTTAAACTATACTAGTAGATTATCATTCAAAACTTTTTAACTATAGTTATAGTTATTGTAAAATATAGTTATACTAATGAACTTTCAAAACTACAGTAAATATTTTTAAGTCAAAAGGAATATTGAAACTTTTTAAAAACCCAGCATAAGTCACTACAGTTACAAAAACATTATCTTTGAAAAATAAAGAAAAACATATTTTCGACTTCTATATTGTCCTTGTTTAGAATTTAATACATTACATTAATATTAATGTCATGTTAGTTATTATAATATTGCAAATTCAAATATCTCAGCTTCCTTGAACTATGTATGATGCCAAATTTTCTAAAAGAAATACCTAAGTTAAATAAAGCAACTAGTCTTATAGAATCTGCTTTGCAGGGTATTGAATCATAGTTAGATTAAGGATATAAACATTAAACTCTTATCTAAGAAAAGTAAGTTCTTAATGTTCAAAAGTTGACTAATAAAGTATTGTCAAAAATATTAACAGTGAATCACCCTTTTTATTAAATGACAGTTTTTAGGGGTTTTCTCCATTTGAAGTTAATCCCACCTTAAGGTAAAGATATTTCAAATATTTACATTTTGGTTTACCATGCTAGTGTAGCTGTTCTACTTCAAGCTTATATTAAGTTTGCCTACATTTAATCCGTCAATGATGGCTTTCAAAAAAATAAAAAATAAATAGAATTGAAGACCCCCCAAAATCTGTAAATTATATTACTGCATATGTAACTTACTGGATAGCATGGAATAAGAAAGAGGAACCTGATACTGGAAGGCATAAGGAGAAAAACTTTTATCAAATGCAGATACTGTTTCTAAAAGGTATGCCAAATAAAAAAAGTAACCCATTTTTTAATTAGAATATTTATTCTAAATTATTTCAATGTGGATACTCATAAGTTAGATCTCCACCCTACCATCCCCTACTACTTCAAGTTGACAAAGTACAGCAACATAGTTGTTAATAAAGAGGCTGGTAATCACCTCGTCACTTTTTTTTAATTCTAAAAATATTCAGCACAACTTTGATAGTTTATGAAAATCAGCAACTTGATCTTGTGGCAAGTAATTATATTTGAGATTTAAATTTTCCAAGCCTGTATGATTTACATCTAATATATCAAGGTAAGTTTGTGTTTGTTTGTTCACACCTTTCAGCCATCTGTTCCTTATACATTTCCAAATTTCTTGATTAATCAGTATAAAACTTGAAACAGTGATATAGGATGAAATGAGGAAGGTCCAAAGGGGTTGGACTCCCCATCTAGTTTCATATTGACAGAATTCTTGAAAACAATACATCTTTCTTTTCAATATTGGTACATTATGTATACTGTTGCATATCTGCTTGTTTGTTAATTTTCCATAGAAATTATTTCTGAGAAACTTCAGCGATACAAGTCCTTTCTTGATTAAAACTA